AATTCACAAGTTAACATAGAAAATGTTTTTGTCAAAAATAAAAATTATGCACCACTTGCATAACTCTTGACCTCTTAATAAATTTTGGATGTGAACTGTTAGTTGGAGCTCAAATGCTTAAAAAATAAAGAAGTTGAGGATTCTACACCCAATAAAATTTGTTTGAATATCCAAATGTGTTTCATGTAATAATTGGGGACCTCCAGTGCTACTTTCCTTTAATTTTATTGTTAATAAAAATATAATATGATTAAAAATAAAAATAAAATAAAGTTGCAGTTTGATTGTTAAATATGATTTTTAAAAACAAATAAAAATATTTTACTGTTCAGAGTTTTTTTTCCCCCTAAAGAGTACCAATAAAGGGCGGGACATTTAGCCAGAGTTAAACATTTCCCTTTTTTTTCCTGTCTTAGCTCTTTCCTCTCACCATACCGATCTATGCTACCTCATATGGTACTTCCATCTCCATTGCAACAGATTCATTGATTCTAACCGAAGTTGGAATCTCTTATGCTATCTTTTCTCTTCCTATCCTATCAAGAACCTCTACCTCGATATTATCAAGGACCTCTTTCACAATGTCCACATGTCATTCAATTACGTCAATTGCTTGGCACTCAAGATTCGATTGTCGCTTTATCCACAACTGGTTGCTCATCAATGATTGGCCCCCTATCCACTTCCATGGTAGTAATCTACTAACCGCCTCATCCACTACATCCTGGGGAGTTATTGAGTTGTGCTCGCTGCCTCAACTTCTAGAATCGGGACTTTCACATCTTTGATAAATTCGATTCCAATCCGTCATCCAAGAAAACAAAAATATCTAATCTATAGCTTAGGTCATGGAGAAATCAATCAAGTTCCCAATTAGAGATCTAGAGAATCTATAAGAATCAAGTTTTCGATTAAAGTCAGAAACCGAAGATAGGCTCACACTTGACTGAGGTCAGTGCATGGTAAACTATGTTCTAGAGCATAAAATCCAATAAATAATTAAGCCCCGTTTATCTTCCATTGTTCTAAATTTAGTTTTTTTTTTTTTTTTCAAACTCATTTCTAATTATATATTTTATGAGATTCACAACTTTATCCATTTTTCAACTACACACTTCATCAAATTTACCAAAATGTACTAAAAATTTAATTTTTAACCAAACTAAACATGAGCTAATATGCTCATATGCATCATTATAGAGGCGAACTTTTAACATAGACTAATTATTAAAACTTAAATCATACAAAATAAAAGAAAATCAAATTTCCAAGAGATACTGAGTATATATATCACATAATTATATTCATAATTAAAATAAAATTAGAAACATATAAATAAAATTTGAGTTCTGCGTTCAAATCACAGTATTTTATCTCGAGCCACTCAATTCAAAGTATCATAATTTGAAGAATAAAACTATTTGTATAATCTTTGTTGATAATTTTATTGATATTCATGTATTTTCAAGATTCGTGCCATTAATTTAAAAAATAATTTTTAAAATGGATTGTGTAAATCTCTGCTAACTTATGATTGTCAACCATTATTGTACGTGTAGCATAGTTCTAATTTGAATAAGTTAATATCCTAAAAATATCATAATTAAATTGGTGATTCTGCCTCGTGTACTTTTTATAAGAATGTTCCATTAAAATTTTTCACGAGATATTCACAAATACACATAGCTCGTCGTGTTTCTGCACTTAAAAAGTGCTCTTTAGTCCTAATTTTTAATAGGACCATGTTAGATGTATATAAAGGTTGATACAATGGTTTACGTCCATGTGAGTTGACAGATTTT